GGCCAAACTTGTAGGCATCGGTTAATAAGTGCTTTGGAATAAGGATTCCGCATACATCGGTTGCGGAGAAATCGGGCATCGCATATCTTTTCCTCCGGTCTGCTGCACTGAGTCTGAATCCGCTTGATGAGCGTTCCCAAACAGTTTCGTTTATAAGCAACAGGATAGTTGCTGCGAAGGCTGAGAAGTTGTGTTGACTTCGTTGTCCTTTTGTTAACCGTTGTCTTGATATCACCGTTGAGCTTTTGTTTAACGAAGACATCAAGGAAAGGCAGTTTATGCTCTTGTGCTTCTTTCCTCGTGAATTTTATGTCAGGCAAATTTCCAGTAAGCAAGTTGGGGAAGTTTTCCAGCATGGTCTTCTTGAAGATAGCAACTACGTCGGCAGCGTAGCAGCGCCAAAAGGCAGGCTCATGCTGGGTGAAGGTAGTGTTTCCAGTGTTAGACTAGCCGGCCGAAGATCGGGAAGCCCAGTGGAGTTTCTTTCATTAGCTAATAGGTTTTCCAACAAAAGAAAAAGAAGTTTTTTGCAAAATCCAAAGAGCCTCGTGAAATATTCAATGTTGCGTGGACTCCGAACCTCTTACTGTGCTTCACGCTCCTCGCGCAGGAATTCTTGCGCCAAATATAGTGAGCAAAAATGTAATTCAAGGAAGGAGAACTGAAGAATTCAGGTCTGGACGACCCAAGTATTAACGGAAAACGTGCCTTGGCAGGTAAGAAGAAACTAAAAACTAAATGAAGAGTCATTTACTGTTAACATAACTGATAACTTAATTTTAGTTTAAACGACATTCCTCAGTGTGCGTCTTTAAAACTTATAACTTACAATATCTAAACTTTGAGTAAACAGGCGTTGGGCTAATAGAAAATTAGGTTGGGGTGCAACAGAACGTATCCATTAGTGCAAGGATGTCAAATTGTGAAGGATAGAATTAACAGCAATATGAAACTGGAAGTAGAAACTGATCTCAAGTATTTTTGTTTACTTAAACTTAGGTATAGTAAATTGAACCGTCAATATAGGGAAAGGTTTGTTTCAGATTTGGGAAGGACACTGTCAAACCGTTTAAATTTCACGAAGTGTGGGAATCTTCTGTATGATAGGGATGGACCGTGGGAAATGAATGTGTACAAATTGTTTTTCCTGCACGACCTATGCTAATTGAAGAACTTTTCGGGAAACTGCGTGGACTAGTACCCTGGGGAGGAAGATATGCGTTCAACTGAATTTACTAAAAATAAGAGATGCAAAAATCAAGCAAAAACACGATGGATAACTGTAAATCTTCTATCGATGGACAAGGAAATTACGGACGCCTTGATTCACTCTTGTCGGATAGGGCTTCTAGAACGAGAGGGCATTGATAACGTGGACAAAAATGCAAAAAATCGATCTTATTTCATTGTCTGTAGTCGCAAGACTGCGGAAGTTTCGTATTTTGACTCAGTCGCAACTAAAATTTCCCTCGTTATGCGTTCTTATGATAGCCATTCTGGAGAAATGATTGGCAGTATCATATAGTGGAATACACTAGAATATTTAATCATAAACATATTATTATATCACATTATTAACATAATTACCTACAGTGCGTTTAAGACTTTAGAATTAGCGACATGCAGCGATAGAAAAATCCAACAAAATGTTGCCCTTGAAAATATTCAAAAACTTAAAATATTTGCTAAAATATGCAATGAAGTGCAAGTCTTCTATTAACTAGAATAAGTGACTAAACGACGTTTGGACCATTCCATATTTAAACTAACGGTTAAATTCGTAAATTTATCTGAGATAAAATACATATTATTAGGAGATTTGGCAGATATGCTTAATTTGAGTTGACCCAATTGTGAAAATAATCGAGGCGTTTGGCGGGATTTGAACCCGCGCATCAGATAAGGCCTTTGCCGGAGGCCAATGCTCTCACTGCTAAGCTTCAAACGCCCCGCCTCGCGCCATGAATTTAATCATACTTGGGTCGATATTACTCGCCCAACTTTGCCGCCCATATGAAATCCACCAAGACGGAACAGCAAGCTGACTGCCCAAGCAGGATTTCCTAAGTAATCATCTAGAATCCACCAGGATGACTACTAGGCTGACTTAATTATTAGGTTTATTCTAGATGACTGCTTAGGAAATCCTGCTTGGGCAGTCAGCTTGCTGTACCGCATTGGTGGATTCCATATGGGCGGTAAAGTTGGGCGGGTAATATAAACCCACGTGTTATTAAATTCACGGCGCGAGGCGGGGCGTTTGTAGCTTAGCGGTTAGAGCGTTGGCTTCCGGTG